TTAGACTTTTCTGACATTAAACTCCAACCAGATGAACGGCCAGAGGATCTGTTTTAGAGACTAAATGCCTTTGTCGAGGACAATTTACTCGTTCGTAATGGAGGAATTACCCACCACAATGTCATCATTGAAGAAGACGAGGAAATTTCTCCATCCCTGGAAAACTTCATTGTACTTACCTGGCTTCAACTCATGCACAAGGACTTGCAGCGTCTGGTCAAACAGAGGTACGGTACGGATCTTCGGTCTAGAACGCTAGCCTCCTTGAAACCGGAGATTTCACAAGCATTAACATCCCTCAAGATGAGCTTCACTCCACAGAGGAAGTCAAGGTTATGAGGTCCGCGGCCTCCCGGTTCAACTCAAGGTCGACTCACCAACAACCATCTCGTTGCAAGCCCAGATCATCCCCTCCTCTCAAAGTTTGTCCTTTGTACAAACAAGCAGGGGAGAATCAACACAGAACACTTCCTGACTCAATGCTCATTTCTGCCGGACCATGACAAACGGAGAAAAGCTGACATCCTTGATACTCCAGACAGTGACATCTCTGAAGAACTTGAAGACATGGAGTTGCAGTGTGCTATCGGACCCGCACCCCAGGCTGCCGTATTGCGGATACAGGTAGGACATTCTCCATCGATGACTGCTTTCTACGGTCACCGGCTTGCCAACATAACTATCGATTGTGGTGACACAGGTAATATGATTCGTCTGTCAACTGCGACATACCTTGGAGTCAAGATACAGAATACATCTTAATCAGCACGCCAAGCAGAGACTCTTAGAACTCATGTGTCGTGTACTGGGCGATCTGTTAGCGGAGGGTGTAGTTGCAAAACTCGCCGACGACTTGTACTGCAGTGCAGATAACCTTGAGGACCTACTTCACAATTGGCGACGGGTATTAAATGCCCTCTAACGAAACAATCTGTGCCTCGCAGCACATAATACTCTCATTGGACCAAAGACAGTGACCATCTTAGGATGGATATGGCAAGAGGGCACCATCAAAGCCAGTCCACACCGAATAGCCACCCTCTCCTCCTGTGCTGTTCCAACCAAGGCGCGCGGATTACGTTCCTTTATTGGGGCGTACAAAGTCCTCGCAAGGGTTGTTCCACACTGTGCTTCACTCATTGCCCCACTAGATGATGTTCAAGCCGGCCTCTCATCACAAGACACCATACAGTGGACTGACCCCCTCATATCAGCATTCGATCAGGCTCAGAAGGCCCTAACCAATGCTAGGACCATTACCCTACCGAGACCAGAGGATCAACTGTGGATTGTCACAGATGGGGCAGTGAAACGACATGGTATCGGAGCAACCTTATATGTCACTCGCAACCAGAAGCCACAGCTGGCTGGCTTTTTTAGCGCCAAATTCAGAGGTCGCCAGATCACGTGGTTACCATGTGAGACTGAAGCCCTGTCCATTGCCGTGGCTGTTAAACATTTTTCTCCTTACATCATAAAGTCCCAACACAGAGCCTACATACTGGCAGACAGTAAGCCTTATGTCCAGGCATTTGAGAAGCTTTGTCGCGGAGAGTTTTCCGCCAGGCTCAGGGTATCTACCTTCCTCTCTGGTGTCAGTCGCTACCAAGCTTCGGTGCGCCACTTAGGCTCTGCCAACATCCCGTCAGACTTCGCAAGCCACAATGCCAAAGAATGCCTCCACCGAACGTGCCAGGTTTGCTCCTTTGTTCAGAGGACCGAAGACTCTGTTGTTTCACGTTTATGTGTCCAGGACATCATGAAAGGCGATGCCAAACTACCGTACACCAGTCGTGCCGCATGGTTGGCACTTCAGGCAGAATGTCCTGATTTGCGACGTACACATGCCCACTTCACACAAGGCACACGGCCATCGAAGAAACAGACTACCGTACCGTGAAGGATGTGAAACGCTATCTCAACGTAGCTACAATAGCCAAAGATGGTCTTCTTGTTGTTCGTCGTTCCGAACATCTTGCATCATAGTGCCACGAACAGTATTAGAATGTCTCCTCACGGCCATCCACATCCGGCTTGACCATCCGTCTTGCCATCAACTAAAACAAGTAATGCATCGTTACTTCTACGCACTAGACATGGACAAAGCTATCGACCATTTGACCGGTAGTTGCCATCCCTGTTCGTCACTTGCGAAGGTACAACACTACCTTCACGTCCAGTCAAGCAACGACCCCCCAGAAGCCATCGGGTTGCTCTTCGCCGCTGATGCCATGAAGCGGGAACGCCAACTCATACTTGTGGTACGCGAGTGTGTAATCACCTACACAACTGCATGCATTGACGACGATAGACACCTTACTTTGCGAGATGCTCTGCTCAAAATGTGCCTCGAACTTAGACCTCTGGATGGTCCACCCTCTGTGGTACGTGTTGATCCATCTCCAGGTTTCACTGCTCTAGCTAAAGATGATCTCTTACGGCGCCACAGATTAGCTGTAGAGGTTGGAAGATCCAAGAACGTTAACAAGAACCCTGTGGCAGAGAGGGCCACACAGGAGCTTGAACAGGAACTCTTGCACCAGGACCCCTTAGGTGGTAAGTGCACCCCTCTGACACTCTTGTTAGCTGTCGTTAGACTCAACACCCGCATAAGATCCAGAGGGATGTCCTCAAGAGAAATGTTGACACAAAGGGATCAATTCTCCAATGCGCAGTTACCAGTGTCTGACAGAGATCTTGTGACAAAGCAGCATCAACAGCGTCTTCGCAACCACCCGCATAGCGAACACTCCAAGTTCCCAGGAGGAAAGGTCTACTCCCCAACCAACATATGTATTGGTGATCTTGTGTATCTCTTTGATGACGGATCCAAACTCAACGCCAGGAAACGCTACCTAGTTGTTTCGATTGATGATACATGGTGCAACATAAGAAAATTCACAGGCAACCAGCTCAGAAGTACATCGTATCGGGTGAAGCTGTCCGATTGCTACAAAGTTGACGATCAAGGTCTGAAATTGCCAACTTACCCCCATAACTGCACTGACAATGGCTCTGATGATGGTCAAATTACCACTGTATACCCTACACCAGTTCTACCAGAAGTCCAACGTGAGATTCATTTACCATAAACAGCACATCAACATCCAGATATGCCTGAACACCAGTCTCCTGAGAAACCCTCCCTCAGACCCCTGACCAGCTGTCTGTACTCCTGATAACCCTGCCTGAGACCCCTGACCAGCTGTCTGTACCCCAGATAACCCTGCCTGAGACCCCTGACCAGCTGTCTGTACCCCAGAACACCCTGCCTGAGACCCCTGACCAGCTGTCTGTACCCCAGAACACCCTGCCTGAGACCCCTGACCAGCTGTCTGTACCCCAGAACACCCTGCCTGAGACCCCTGACCAGCTGTCTGTACCCCAGAACACCCTGCCTGAGACCCCTGACCAGCTGTCTGTACCCCAGATAACCAACGATGACTCTCCCATTCGCGAGAGTGACCACACTGATGACCACTCTCCCAGACATCCGTCACGAGGGAAGCGCCTACCAGCAAGATTTGCTGACTTTTACGTGAACTTGTAATTGTACGTTGTGAAGTTCCCCCATGTAATGTGTTTAATTTGCTGGTACAGTTAATTTTGCAACATAATTTCTTTGGGTACTTAATTGAGTGTTCCATATTACTACTTTCCATAAAGGTAAAAGTTAAGGGAAAACAAAGAAGAGGTCACGCCAGTATAACTGTAGTTAGTTGTACATCGTATACCATTGCTCGCCTCTCTGTTAACCCTACATCCGGTGTTAAGTAAAACCACCGTTTACCAAGAAGCCGTGTTGTTGTCGTTCCTGATTGTTGTGGCCATACTGGCGGAGCCTGACTACCCGATCCTGTTAGTCGCCTCTTACGACAATGAACAAATGTATAGAATGGGCGCAGAAAAATATATGGTGCCTTAAAATTTGGGGGAACGCACAATGATACTCATCGTATCGGCGTGTTAACAAGAGCTGTAACTTTCCCTCAACAAATGTATGGATTTAATCTTGCTAAAGAACACTACACCATTTCATTAAAATAACCTACATATTTCCTGTAAGGACCCTTAGTTATGTAGGCCAAGGTGATACCCTTGGCGTCTATAAACTCTGATGACATTAACACTATACCTGGGGACGGTAAAACAGTTGCAGCCAGGTCACGATTAGCATTCCCATGTCTGTGTTCAAGTGGCTTCTTTCGGTCATTGCCTGTGTTGCATTGACCGTATTCTTTTTCGAAAGCGTGAAAACATGCTTGGAATATCATTAACACCGTTTGGTTCTTTTCACGGTCAACCTGTGTAACAAGCAGCTATATGGCTTTTTTCGGATTAAGTTTATTACCGTGAGATGTTTTCTAATTGTACATGTGATGAAGGAGAAAACAGTGAATGTTTCTTATGCGTCCGAAAACCTATACAAAGAGGATACGTGCATATTAAATCTAGCATTAAAATCTATAAACAGAACAAATATTGTCATATTTATAACAGAAGGTTACATATATATCAAAGCATAATTTGCAGTAGCTGAGCTAGCTAAAAGTCTGTTAATGCCTAGCTTACCGTTTGGCATCTTTTCTGATCGGGATGCCAGCATTCGGTTACTATATTTTGTCAAGATCTTCGTTTGACCTGACAGACTGTCCTCATCCTATCTTCAGCATTAACAAGTGCAAATACTTTCAGAAATACAAACATTTCTGAAAATGTTCGTTACATAAGCGAGAACGTTCCGTTGGAGTGAAGTTGACACGCCCAATGTCAACAATTCATTTTTAGCGATTCTCAATAGCTGGTACACATTTCTTCATGAGAAGTGTAGGCAAACTGAAGATAGATCATCGACATGTATGGCGGTACCGGATGTCACGAAGGTACATTTTGACCAATGGGTTTGATTACATGCTCCCAATACATGCTATTCTTTTCCATTTTGTAGACAGACTGCATGACCTTTCCGATCAACTAATCACGTTTTTCACATTTTTCAGATATTTACTATTCCTGAATATCTCCAGAAACGGTTTGGTGGCAACAGATTACGTCCCTATCTGAGCGTGCTGGCGCTGATTCTGTATGTCATTACGAAGTGTTCGGTAAGTCATCTCTATATCGGTAAGTACACCGTCGTGTTAATCTTAGGCAAGATAACCTTCAATATTGTATTCCACAGATTGATAGTTGGGTAGCCCAGAGAGAGAAGCCGCACACACCCCAGTCACTCACTCACACACAGCCTTTATTGGATCTTTTGTAAGATGATATATCCGTCTAGGATGTGGTGTAGAATCTGGCTGTGCCTTAACGTGTATTTACAGCTTGCACCCCACTGTTCAGAATACGGATCTAATATCGTCGTTATTGAATAGTGACTTATCAACACGTGTTTTACGTTATCGTAAAATGGTTTCTGCATCGAACAAAGATGTCTTATGATTACGTTTAGCTATTTGTCTTGGCAATTTGCGATAATAACAATTTAATGCCACCTGCTACCAGAGAAAATACAGACGATCCTGTCTTATACGCCATATATTCTTTGAGCTAATCTTTGTCAAACCGACTGAAATTGTATCCTTCAGTTAAGATTTTGCTTTATCGCTGGTGGACAGGTTGAAGGAGTACTTTAATTTTACTCCGAAAGACCTGCATTATACAATGGTATGAGAGCATCAATTGTCCTGGATGACCTGCAAGATTTGAGAAATGGGTAACGTATTTAGAAATGTCAGAACAAGTTATTAGATGTGTTGTTAGATATATTAACCAGACGTATTTGGACATGCCTCAACACCAAGTATATTTTCACACAGTGAGTCTCACAAAATTGGTGATTTTAAGAAGCGTCAGATAAATAGTAGTTTACACAATCTGATTTTCTCAGACGATTATCTGCAGAAGATCAAGTCAAAAGTATAAGGTTCGCAAGTAACGAGGGGGGGGTGGGGTCAGTTGACGATCTGAAGAGGTCTGGTGGTTTCCATGTGAATGTTTTGGGGAACGCTTGTTCGTACAGGTGTAAGGAGTTGCCGTGTCATGTACCATGACATACGAGTCGCCAGGTAAACACACTTGAAAGAGGTTTTGAATCACTCTTACCTGGCATACTCATTAACTCTATTCCTAAAAATGCTAGGTAATATATGATTTTGCACAGTATTTAACAATATAATTATCCTAAAATATACAATTCTATGATGTACCATCATTAACCAATCGCAAATGTCTGCTTCCGCGTGAGGTAATGTCATTTTCAACTGGATATACGCTGTCGAATTCTAATTGGAATTCTTCTCACGAATAGGAGCGCTCTTTCTGATGTATAAACGTGTGTGCTGATGTAAATATATGAGCTATACACGCATGAAACATGTTTACTGACACGAAAGTTAAACTTTGCATACCAAAGTAGATCTATTCACAAGGAGGATGAAACATAATGTTACGGTCAGTCCACACCAAATTAATTTCATGGATAACGTTGTGTTTCAGTCCGTTTGTTTGGTTTTTTGGTCTGTTTCGTTTTTTGGTTTTGTTGATGTTTGTTTGTATTGTTGTTTGTTCCTTTAGTTGCTGCTAACGCATCAGTAATCAGCTGGTTTGTTGATAATGGAGTCTGAACAAAACACACCTCTGATTAATCATAATCAAAATATTAGCTTCGAAACACATGCATCAAACTGTAGGCTAGTGAGTGTTTGTTAATGAATCATTATCAGATAGGGATGATACGAAGTGTTTACAAAAAGGTAAGCATATCCAGCTCTATTGGCGAAACCTGACACAAACACATGCAAAAGCAGCGTTCACCTGAAACTAACGTGATCCAAGCCAAAGTCCCATGTCGTTCGGGAGACGACGACAAACTGGTGATCATATCCAATTTGTGCAAACATGATTCAGCGGAGTTGATGGATCAGTATGAGTAACAGATGAGTAGTATTGAAGTGGCCTGCCTATTCTACTTCGTTTTGGTCCTTAAGTAGGTTGTCATAAACGAGTTCTTGAGAGCAATGACATGTAGGTCACATATACGTGTGTATGAAAGTGTCGAAATTCAGAGAAACATGAACTGCGTTTTTAATACCGCGCTTCCTCCGCTTGAAATAATAGTTCTGAGATAGCATATCCAGGTAACTGTGACATTCGGGTATCAATTTGGGGACAGTTAGTGATATATGTAGAAAGGGTGACGTTTATTCGTTTGATCTCTATCTCGGTGTGTGTGTGTGTGTGTGTGTGTGTGTGCGTGCGTGCGTGCGTGCGTGCGTGTGCGTGCGTGCGTGCGTGTGTGTGTGTGTGTGTTAGTATTAAACTTGACACTGATGCCATTGACGAGATGCAGGGGAAAATACATGCATGCAGAAATGCGGATCTCGTTTCCGAATTGCAAATGAAGCATCAAGTTGTCAGATCCCCCGTTGTTCTTGGTACCTCCCATTGTTGATGTACAGCAGACATGCAAAATTGGTTTGCTCTCCTGCTATTCCAATTAGAAAGATAAGGCCCAACAGATATGGTTACTGAGGTGATCAAATGTTCACTTTTCAAATTAGTAAAATATGATGTCCTCTCTTGTGAGAACAATCTGATGGGGAAATGACGTTTAAACAACACATGCCTCATTCTACAGGTAGACATCTACGCCGGTGCCGTATTCATTCAACAGGCAGCGGGATGGAACATCTATCTGTCCATTGTCCCACTGCTGGCCGTTACCGCTCTCTACACAGTTGTCGGTATGTTCATCCCGGAGCAATTAGCCAGAATCGAAAATTAAATTGAAGCATTATAGATATGACATAATCACATAGAATGGTATTCTATTTTGTATGAACTTTTGAGTTGGAATGTTCAAAATAATTTAACTGCGCTAACTACGATAAGCGTGGAACTAATTGTAATGATAGTTTTCTTCATCGACGTGACCTTCCCCATAATCTTTTAACTTGATAATTACTGTACGCCATAGTTACCACCAGTTATATCGTTAAACTGACACTGATCCAGAGCAATTCCTCGGGACTGGTTGTTGCTTTTATTATTGTTTTTACCCCGCAAGTACCCGGATGATATCCCAGAATTCTTGACTGGGTTGCCATCTCTGCTGCGCCACCCGCAAGCGTCCATAAACGACATCTGACGATTCAGTCATTTCGACGTCACAGTAAAGACGTTTTAAATAGTTCACTCCTTTGCATAAATGTCATTTAAATTTTCTTGGTCATTTCCCCAATACATATATCTTATGACACAAGATATTCTGCAAAAAGGTTTTTATTTACAACTCTGGGTTATCAGACAGCGCAGGTACTCCGAATAGATTTATCTCTGAACTATATATGTATTGAGAGGTGACTGCGTGGTTTGCTGTTATTGTCATTGTGTGTTTACTCTTTTAAGAGATACGTTCTGAGCGTGACATAGAAGGAACTGTACAATAGTGAAATACTGTTGTTGTGGACAGTACATCATGTCATGGGAGAAAATGAAAAAGAATATATGACTTATCTGGCCACGCCCTACTTGACCGTTGAAAAACCTCCTTCCAGAACCCCTCTGTACTCGAACGATGAACACAGAACAAATCACTTCTGTGACTGCGACTAACGGGATCGGGTGGCCAGGCTCGCTGACTTGGTTGACACATGTCATCGGTTCCCAATTGCACAAATCAATGCTCAGATGCTGTTGATCACTGGTCCAGACTCGATAATTTACAGACCGCCGCCATATAGCTGAAATATTGCTGAGTGCGGCGTAAATCTAAACTCACTCACTCACTCTGTGACTGGAATTCTGTACTGCTACAAGTGGAGTGAAATACTACTCACTCAATCCCTTCTTAAGTTGATCATGTCCTTAAGGCAGTTGGGGTGTTGTTGGAGTGGACGGGCAGACGCAAGATCTAGTCGTATAAATGCGTATGCGTCGACGAGCGCGCGTGTGTTTGGTTGCGTGCGTGCTTGCGTGCGTGAGTATGTACGTCTGTAATGTTCCCCCAACCCCCTCTCTACCCAGGCTCCAGAATAATGCTTGGCCCCGTCTCCAGTAGTTGAAGCGCCAGAGAAATATCACTTATAAATGGCTGCTTGTGGTGAACGATCTGCTATCACAGTTGTTGTTTCGTTGTAGTCAAGTCTAGTTGAATTCCCTATCGAAAACATCCCGTATAACGAAGCAAATAGTAATAGTTGTCAGCATAGAGGTAGAGGCGTTAGTCAGGTGTTGGTTTAAGTGACTGGTTGTTTTCTCTTCTGGTTCATTTCTGTATATATGCCTTGTCCAGTTGTCTGTAGGACGGGGGAAACAGACAATATATATATATTTGTTGTCTTGTCCTTATTTATATATATATTCGATGTTCTGTACACATGTTGCAACTCGCAGACTCTTAATGATCATTGTCACACATTGGAAAATTCGTTGATAATGGTCATGCATGAATCATCCCATGTGTTCCAGGGGGTCTGGCTGCGGTCGTGTTCACGGACACCCTTCAAACTATAGTGATGTTAATCGGAGCCGTGACACTGGCGATCATGGGTGAGTGTTCTATTCACTATGCAGCTATATACTATTGTGGCCTAGAGGGGGCATCATCTTGTGTAGGTGTATGTAGCGATAACAAGAGACAGATGTAACGGGAGACGAGGAAGCAGAAGGACAAGACGAGAACGCGACATCGTTGCATCACTGTCTTGCCTGTGGCATGTGGTGTCACCATTTGAAAGCGTCTGCTTTATTCTTTCTGTTCTGTTCACATGTACGAATTCGCCCTATGGAAAGGTCTACAATGCTGTCACTGTTCCCCGACACATATCAAGTAACATAAAAAGAACCGAAGTTTATGTTTATTTAACCTAACCTATGGAAAGGTGTAACAATGTTCAATTCCCGGATGGTTCTAAACCCAGAATTGGTACTTTACGAAGAAAGTGTAATCACACATGAAACTTTCGTAGCCAAATAAATAGGTTCGGGAAATCGGTGTATTCGACAACTAGGTTCGACTGTATATACATATGCAGATGATTTTTAAGCAACAATAAACATGAAGAATATTAATATCATGCAACGCCCTAATAGAAACGGTCGTATCAAATTACATTCTCTGTTCATTAACGTTCTGGTTCATAGGTAAATAAATAGTCATTCAGTCATGTGATATTGTATAAGTTTATTAATATTTTATGAAAACATAATATTGCAGTTAGTGATTTAATGTAACATTGAAATTAGTAGTATGATGTTATAATATTGCCTTTAGTAATAACGTTACATTTCAGTTAATGATACGATATAATATAAATTCTAATTAGTGACATGATACCATAATATTGAATTTAGTGATATGATAATGACCTATAGCAGTTAGTGATATGATACTATATTCATTTTGTTACAATTAGTGATATGATATGATATATACTGAAATGTAAGACTACATCTACCCACCATAACAAGCCAGTATTGATGTCACTTTTGTATTCAAATCCTAATGGTACAATTCAAAGAAACCATTGTAGAATATGCCTCATCCTATACATGGAGGCAGGTTAGCCAGATAGAGTTAATAGGTACCACTGTTAGTCCACACTTCTGGGAAGGCTCTGAACATACATTACTGTTCTTTCATCCTATCCGAAATATTCAATTTCAGCTTTCGTCCAAGTGGGAGGGATTGACGGCCTGTACTCCAAATACTTCTATGCTATACCTGAAACCAATGTTACGAGGAACAACACGTGCGGGATGCCTCGCGCGGACGCCTTTCATATCTTCCGGGACCCCGTGAACGCCGACTTGCCATGGCCAGGGATTGTCATCAGGTCCACCGTTGCTTCGCTGTGGGCGTGGTGTGCCGACCAGGTGGGCATATAACTGCATATTGCACACACGTATTGACTTAAAATTACCATTGAATTAACAAAAGTCATATATTCTTCTGTCATGCTTGTGAGCATTATAGTATGTACGATATATTGTCTCAGAAACCGCATTTGTTATTGCCATTCATTGATAGAATATATATAACTTTATTGTTGGTGTACGCTTACTGTTGTATCTACAGTGAGTGAGTATGATTTTTCGCAATATTCCAACAATATCACGGCGGACGCTTTAACCATTAGACCCCACCGCCCTGCATCAAGAAAGAGAGACACGATGTATGTCCTTATGATGAAACGTGGAGTGTATTCATTCCTTCATTCATATATTTAGATAATTTATGTTTGTTTAGTAACAGTCAGCTGTTTTTTGTGTTTCAGGTTTTAGTCCAGAGAGCCCTAGCTGCCAAGAACATGGCCCACGCCAAGGGTGCCACAGTGTTTGCAGGCTACCTGAAGATACTACCGCTGTTCCTGATCATTTTCCCCGGCATGATCAGCAGGATCCTCTATACATGTAGGCGCCTGTGTTCTTACTTTCTGTTCGCTGTAACTGAGGGCTACTTCTTTACAGTATTTACCTATAGAAATAGTGACCCACCGCCACGAGCATCAGCTTTAATTGTTTGTCATCGTTCCTCGGGGCGGTGGGGTAGCCTAGTGGTTAAAGCGTTGGCTCGTAACACCGAAGACCTGGGTTCGAATCCCCACAGGGGTACAATGTGTGAAGCCCATTTCTGGTGTCCCCCGCCGTGATGTTGCTGGAATATTGCGGCGTAAAATCAAACTCAGTCAGTCAGTCAGTCATCGCTCCTCAGAGTAGATGGAACGTGACCGATGTTGTTTTGTTTTATTCTATGTTGTTATTTTTTTGTTGATTTGATTGTTTTTCTGTCTGTTGTGTCTGTGTGTGTGCGTGCGTGCGTGCGTATGTCCCGTCCTGAGTACATTATGTGGAATATTATCAAGCTGTGACTGTGTATAACGGGCAGTCATTTTATACCAAAGGCTCTCACAGTCACAACCATGGGTTTGTTTTATGCTGATTTGGTGTCCGTGCTTTACAACGCCGTGTTCAATCATTGATGCAATGAATTATCTGTAAAAGTATACCTCATTCTTTGACCTGACATTTCAGCTGAAGTGGCTTGCGCAGACCCCGCCACGTGTTTCGAGGTGTGTGGGAACGAGGCTGGATGTTCCAACATTGCATACCCAAAGCTCATCCTCACCCTTGCACCCATTGGTGAGCTCCTCACATAGCTAGGGACCATTTTGTTGGGAAGTAGGGGGCTCTTTGAGAGAATATATTAGCAGTGGTTCGATGCATTCAATAGTGTTCAGTATGCCATATGTTCCTTGCATGTTTAATGTTTATTTCTCAGTATTTATAAGAATATGAAATGGAGTATTCCTAACCAAACCGACAAGAGATATTTCACATTCAGTGAGGGTTTCTTTTTGAAAACATGCATATTTCTACAGGATCTCACTACATGACTTGTATCTATAATGTTTCAACGTAACATGTTGACTGAAGGTCTGCGTGGCTTGATGATGGCGGTGATGCTTGCGGCGTTGATGAGCTCGTTGACGTCGGTGTTCAACAGTGCCGGTACAGTGTTCACTATGGACCTATGGAGGAAGGCGAGGCCAGCGGCTAAAGAAAGGGAGCTTCTCATCGTCGGCAGGTAAAGCCACGAGATAAGATGTTTTACATCATCTCTAGTGAGAATGTACGTGATCAGACCAAAATGATTCAGTTGAGCGACTAACCTTTGAGTCAGCACAAACAGACTAGGACAACATAAGCTTCAGAGAAAGGGAAACATGTTAGATCTCAAAAGCAGCCAAGTTTTGTTCCGTTCTACAGATGGCTTACCCATAAAAAGATCAGTCTGTACATTATGTATACAACCTGCTACGGCGACACTGTCGTATTATCAAGGCAAAACATGGCGGAAAGATAACTATTGGCGTGTTGTTAAGAACACTGCATCTATGCATAAATCGGTTTTACCTACAAATGGATGGTTTTACATCACACAGAAGAAGCGTCCGTAACCAGTTAGATCCTGGCTTCAGTACTAGTGGTGTTGGCAGAAAGCTCAAATCCCCACATGGACAGTATGCGTGGAGCCCCTTTCTGATATTTGGACTAGTGATAAACATATAACCCTATTCATTCACCCACTCACTCACTTATACATTGTTGCAGGGCGTTTATTCTGGTGCTTGTTGCTGTGAGTCTGGGCTGGATTCCGCTCATCATGTCTTCCCAGGAAGGACAACTCTTCCTCTACATCCAGGCTGTCAATGGCTACATAGCGCCACCTATCTGTGCCCTCTTTATCCTCGCTATATTTGTACCGAGAATTAATGAAAAGGTCTGTACATTGACAAATACTATGTTGTGAATGTAAAAGCTTTATTTGTAGAATTTTTATGACGAAATATCAACAATTGATAAACTGTTGGTGAGTTATACAGAGCATCTCAAATATATCAACACCAACTGTGCCTTACCGTAAACCCTCGGCGTAAAGGACGCAAATCAGATCAGCAAAATACTACGCCTTGTACAACCAAAATTAATAAAGAGCTGACAGGGTATTATTAGATTCCTCTTCCTTCAAAGGGTGCGTTTTGGGGCGTAGCAGTAGGACAAGTTGTTGGGATCTGTCGCCTCGTGCTGGACTTCGTGTATCCCTCTCCTGGATGCGGCAACGTGGACAACAGGCCCAGTGTCGTCTCCAAGGTGCATTTCACGTATTTCTCAGGGATTGTCCTCTGCGTGACCACCATTGTTGCCATTACGGTCAGCCTGATGACGGAGAAGCCGGACCGGACATTTGTAAGTAGTGAACCCTGAACAGTATAGTCTCAGTGATTATACCCCCTGTTGGGTGAACTCCCGGTGTGTGCTGAAATAGTGCTTGTATAATTTCATGCTGTATAATTGAGCAAACTGTTAAATTCGTCAAAACTCGTTATGAAAACAAGGTATTCCATTATGTGTAAAGGATGGTGAATTGTTCCTGGAGTGACGCCACCATCCTCGTCCCTCCGCTGTCACTGTTTGACTGGACGGCAGTTTGACTGTGTCTACGCGTGAGTGAGTTGGGTCAAACACCACATTTAACACTTCCAGTTATGGCAAAGAGTCCACGTGGTGCAGGAGGAACCCGATGTTGTGAAGGTCCCACAACTTTACTTTTATGAACCCAACGATCACGGGTATAGTACTGATAGTCCTAGACAACCAATCGCGTCAAACCGGGATTCGAACCCACAGTCAGATGTTTCTGAGGTGCCTAGGGACGCAACTCTAAATTGTAGCACCTCAGACGACCGGGCCACCTGTCATTTATAAAGGGGTAATCATAAAACAGTAAATGCAAACAAACTGGGATATACACTCTTATGTCTGCATGTACGATATGAAACAACACATTACTGATTTGGTGAACCTTCCATTATTTACTGTTTGGAGACGGATTATCCAAAATATAACAAGACACCGACATGAACGGTTTCCAGAAAAAGATCACATAACGTCCCTGTAAGAGAATAGAAAAACGGTTGGTCACCACCCTGCTAATGAACCGTTGTGCAGTGTTTAAGGATAAAACTAGGGTGTTTTATACCCCAATGATCGTGGGTCTTCGTTAACATGATGTCTAATTCCATTGTTTACAGACTGACGGATTAACGTACTGGAGTATTCGTAAAAAGATCCGCCATGACAACGCTACATACAGGGTGAAGGAACAAAAGAAGTCCGAGAAGGGTATGATCCAGAGTAAGGCCTCGTTGCTAACAACTCTAACGTTATAGACCGTCAGGTCGATGGTCACGTCAGTAGAAACATCATTATAGACGTTGGCTTGTTAATTGTCTTATTTAGATGTCATTCAGGAAATTTAACTGTCGGACGCGTAAAGAAATGAAACTTCAAAGCTTTGCTTTCTCAGTTCCAAAATGTTTCTTAGGCTGGATAGGAAACAACGTGATTCTGGACTGTCTCTCGTATATCCGAACGTACATTTGTCAATAATGCTGCTTCCAGTGCTTGTATTAAAGGGTTGTGTTTTGTGTTGGTTGTCGCGTAAGCTCAAAGGTACTGTTAACATAGTACAATATTATACAGTGTATGCCATTAAGGACTCCACAGGAATCCTAAAACATATAAGGATTTCAAAGAGCGTCATACCACTCTTGTTGAGAAATTGTTTGATCAATGCCTCAGTAAAGCTGTCAAAACGTTGTCTGGAAGGCGTGTGGAGGAAATTTCCAAAGTTTTTGTATCAGTGACAAAAATTATGTCCGATGCAATTCCCTATTTTGACTTATGCCATACGTTCCCGAATTATTTCAGGTGAACAATTGACTAGACTTAGCATATGTTTATGATGGGTGCCACTGGTAGGGCAGGATACACTCACCTTTTCGCGAACACCTGGTATCATCACTATTTCATAGTTATTCATAAACACATGCTCTGTCATCGTATCGCATGGTGACAATCACTGGATTGTCTGGTCCGGACTCGATTTGTTTACAAACAACATCGTGCAGCTGTATTACTGCTCAAACAAATATCTGCAGTTAATATGAAAAGTGATGATTTAGGACTCTCTCTCTATTCTCAGTCGCGATACGGATTCTTCTTAACTCTTAAAGTTACGACTTTTATGCATAAACCCTCAATATCAGACCATACTTGTAGATCTAAAACAGACACGGCAACGTTGTTTCATTGCTATAGGTTGAGGATAACTGTTTAAGTCTATTGCCTTCAAATTAGCAAATGGTTATGAATGTTAATTCATTTCTTTCTGAAGGAATATTTCTTGTTTTCATTTTCTATCAACTCTGAATCATTTTAGTAACTATTGGCTATTAACACTGATGTCTCATGTGACTAATAAACTTTGTTATTACAAAAGTTGACACTGTCTGTCATTTGAAGCGCTAGTGTCGTTTGAAAAGTCAGGACCCTACTAATGGCATGAGAAGTTGTTGTTTCTTTCTTTCTCTGTTTGCTTGCTTGCTTCTTTAATGCTGCACTCAACACTATCAAAGCTATATGACGGCGGGACGGTAACTTACGATTTTATTAGTGTTTAATATAAGAAGAAAAGACACACACGTGTGTTGATCAGGACTTTATATGTCAAGACAAGAATGATTCATAAGTTGATGTGTCACTATAGCTACTTCTATGTCGTTGTAGATGATGACTCGAACACGACGGCGGCTCTTGACGTCAAGCTGGAAAACGGCACTGACGAGAACAACGTGATTGACCTGATACAAGAGAAATTCAGTCTTAGAATTTCAGAAAAGTTAAATCTGTTCCTCGACATTAATGGTGTTGTGCTTCTCTGTGTGTTTGCATTTTTATATGGATATTATGGATAGCTGCGGACACGTCCAGTCCTTGTTCTGAAACATTAAGAAAATACTGTCTTGTCAAATCAGTATATCGATTATCTCGATAATGCCGAATATAAAAAATTGAAAACAGATTTTTTACTTCGGGTCATAACCACATGATTCGTACAAGACTTAATGAATTGAATGAGAAACTATGTTGGAAACAATGAAGGGGCCGCATACACCCTACTTTGGTTGAAACAAGGAATGATTTATTTTAATAGAATTATTTACCACTGTTATTCTCTAAGTGGGGCCATTACTTTGGGTTCAGTGTGCATCTCTTTATATTCGAGGTGTCTGTGTATGAATATTCAGAAAGGCATTGAAACGATATACGCACAATACTCTTCTGTTTGGTACTGTGAAAACGTCCTTTCAACATAAGGGTTGTCAGTAGTGCGGGGGTGGGGGTAGATTGGGGAAGATCCATGCTTCTTATTCCTTAAAATTGAATGTATCAGGTTGATTAACCAAAGTTGATGGCTTTTAAAATATTTGAACCTTCTAAGTAGATTTTATCCCCAATTCAACCATGACAATATAAACCATTTGATGATAATAGGTATAAATCTTCGTGTTTCCTTCCATACACTCCGACCATATTCTTTCCAAGTATGACATCAGTCGTGAAGTTTGGCCGTTCACCTTAGATTTTCCAAAATGATACCAAAGAGTTCTGTTGCCATGGCCTTAGTTATACCATAATTCTGTAAAGAAAAGGTCATATAGTGTGAAACAAGTACATCAACGTTGGTGTATGTGTATGTTTACAGGGTATATACGGTACGTGTAACATTTTACTTGATAATCATCTTCAATTAGTTTATGTCTCCCGTTACCGTCGGTTCAAATGTGGTTGAACGTTAAAAGAAGTACGTTTGGGAGAATTACCGGTGATTTGTTGTATTGAAAATGTCAGCACGGAGCAGGTGTTCTCGTATTTGAGGACGACATTACTCATTGTGTCGTGTCAACGTTAGTAGCTGGTGTTTCTTAGGGGAACATACAAGATGTCGTCACAACAACTGTTCCCTACTTTATTTCCAACTGTTCCCTACTTTATTTCATACAGTATACGTTATATAATTAAATATCAATATATGCAGTCACGGGGTCACAAATAACCAGACAATGTTTAAACTATGATGACAAATGTATGTGATTGTGATTTTTTCCAGGTATTACAAATAGAAACATCATATAATTTTGTAAATGTACAGGTTTAAAACGCAACAACAGTAGCATAAAATGATGCCCAGAATCACTTTTCCATTATACAGAAGGGTATGCAGTAATACTTGATCTTTGTACACAGAGTATTTTGTATCGATATCTTGTAGCAATAAACGCTGTACCTTATTGTACAGCAAAAGAAACGGGGTTTCTCTTTTCTTATTTGGTGCGCTGGGGCAGCCTACTGGTTAAAGCGTGTCACGACGAGAATCCGGGTTCGATTCCCCAAACGTGTACAATGTGGGAGCCCATTTCAGGTTTCTTCCGCCCTGATACTGCTGGAGTATATCTAAAAGCGGCGTAAAACCAAACTAATATTTGCTGTGAGGACGGACAGGGTATTTTGCAGAGATTGGCCTCTATTTTATTTTATTTCGATACATTGTACAGAGCGAGGGACATATTGAGACAGAAATGATTTATTGTATTGGTGTGTCTAAATTTACATCTATCTCGAGATCTAATGATATATCAACTGGAATGACCGTTAATGAAATACGAGAGGGCGACAACAAGAATTGACCAAACGATTGATACTGCATCAATTTACAATCAATGCAAACTGCAACAATTCAAGTCTTTCAGTTATATTTATATAAAGTACAAATTCGATCCTAGCAAAGACGAAAGACGCTCTTGTGAAACCCGAAAACACGAGTCTACATAAGACTCTTCAAAGATCACTCAAACCTTCGAAGCACACAAAGTCTTCAAGTCTTTGTAGAGAGTTCGAAAGTCTCTGAACAGAGGTCCTATGTCCAGCAGGATGATCCCGGAGATCACTCCAATGATGAGACTGACCCCCACGACACCTATTGTCCGGGAGGAATCCCTTGCGTCCCAGACACTGATATGTTTCCTGATAGTAGCAGACAGGTTGGTCTTATCCACAGAAAGTCTCTGCCCAATCTTCCTTGTGACTTCATCCAGTTCTTCTTTGTTGAGATCGGCGACTTTAGAGCACGGGCATATGCAGCTTGAGGACATCAGGCGTCGCACAGGAGAAGAGGTTGCTTGCTGGAGAAGAAGGTTAGAGGATTACGTCAGTTATGTTCCTGTAGACGTATCAAACAATCACAAACATAAACACACACACACACACACCAATGCGCATCCACGAGCAAACGAAGTGGCCATAGCACGTGTGCAACCAGCGACTTAAGCATGAAATGAGGGTAACGTGTAGTGTTGTCGTTCATATATGCTTTTATCTGTATAGGACAGCATTTAACACATGTGACTGAAGCAGACACCGACAACGGTACAGGTTACTTGGAAACTGGTGAATCCAGGTCGGGGGTAGCCGTCGTTTTTCCCTTGCAACCATAACGTGACTGGAATTATTACACAAATGGGCAACAAATGGTTTCTCCGCCTGTAGACCACGTGTGTACATCATGGGCCTCAGACCGCTTCACTCCGATTTGTGACATTCTCTACAATATCTGTCCTACCAGATTTGTATAGGACATCAGCGCCGTCAGAGAGGAACCGTGTAACAGGTCATCGAGCCGGAGCCAGACACGTGTCACGTTCCTCCCTGATCGTGCAGATGCAGAAAAGTGTGTTCGTAAAGAGGAAATTGACGCCAAACTGTACACAGGAAGTGCACTGATTGCAGATGGTTGTGACACGTGTTTTGACATGACATGTCAATACCAGCAACTAGTGTCAACTGTGGAAACATGTGTCATGTGGGAATATCCTGCTGCTTTCCGTCGATACATTAATCCACCAAATGTCACAACAAAATGCATTTGTGTTTATTGTCGGGGAGTACAAATAAGATTCAAGAGTTAAGGACACTAATACATGTAATTATTATATCATATATATGAATATTCGTTTTTCTGCTCCTCCACATCTACAAGTGCAGGCGCAATGCTAAATAAAAACATGAAAGTTTTACTTTAAACATCACGAAATGTAAACAAACTTAAACTGTTACAAGTGTCAAAGAGGCTGTTTTCATTTGCATGGGTGCAAACAGGAGAGCCTGCTGTGGCAATTTGACTTGTATGCCCCACCCGTTACACAATTAGCGTAAAAAGGGTATTGTTTCTTGCACGGCAGGACACAACGGTACCCCAGCAAGTAAGTGATAATTATGTCACCAAAAGTTTGAATCGATATGGCATTGCATAGCTCTGTAGTATTTCTTCGTAAGGCGAAAGTCCTACATCACGGTGAGTGAAAACAGTAAAAGTGAAAAAAAACCTTACCAACGATGAAGACGGCGGTTCTCTGACACAGTGTGGGCAGGATGTGACACTCTGAGCACTCCCAGTACTGATGACAGCAGCAGGTGTTGTAATCTCAGGCACGTCAACATTCCCACTAGCGCGTGGATTAAAGATTGAATGTGTTCTGTAATTGTCTGATATAATGTCTGTTTCTTCCACTCCAACACTGTGTGATACAGATACAGCGACGGGGACTGGATATGGCGTGTTTACCTCCAGAGTTCTGGGACCATCGCGCCTAGAAGTGACAAACTTGTCATATGTAGAAATGGGTGAACTGGCAGTGAGATTGGTAGGTGAAGTATATGTTACAGATTCCGCCGAGATGGAAACTTCGAATGACGTTTTCCAGTTTGTATGCATAACAACAAGTCCAGTATGGAACGAATGTTCTTCAACACCAGCAGTTCTTAGATCATTGGGTAATAACATAGAACTGACCAATTTTCTCCTCGTCTTGGCAGCAGAATATGCATCTAGTGATTCTTCTCCGTGTGACATTACGCTGGTCTGATGCGACGTAGATGAAGGGTACAGTGGTAGTGTCTGCAGCATGTTCCCAGAGATGCTTCTGTCGGTTTGGGGATGTGTTGCATCCTCTTTGTCATAGTAAGCGTCGCCATTCAGAGAGGAGATGTGTCTAGTTTGGAATTTATGATACCTAGTCATCTGTGTCGACACTGGGTAATATATTTCGCTGCCAACTGAAGACATTAGCTTTGTTAGTCCATATTCTGCAAATGCCGAGGATTGAGAAACAACATTCCAAAATATGTGCGTGTACATCTCAGTGTGCTTTGAATCTCTTTGGTTTGTTGAGATGATGTCACTGTTTCCAAACAGCTCCGACACCGATGCAGAAGGTGATTCGGGGAGAGACGAACCAGCATGGTCGTGGATAGATCTGTGAGGTGTACCTGAAGTGTAAGGTAACATGCAGAGGCATTACCACTAGCATGTTGAAATACGGGAGTTAAATACCCAGCATGATTATTACAGTGATACATGTTGATGATTATACATGCGGATCCCACTGTGTCTCGGAAACTGTAATGTTGTTTGCGGACATTTACCACAGAGTGTCAACGTGTGAGGTTGTGTTATGGGTTACTTGTGTTATGGACATTTACCACAGAGTGTCAACGTGTGAGGGTGTGTTACGGGCTACTTGTGTTATGGACATTTACCACAGAGTGTACTTGTGTTATGGACATTTACCACAGAGTGTCAACGTGTGAGGTTGTGTTACGGGCTACTTGTGTTATGGACATTTACCACAGAGTGTCAACGTGTGAGGTTGTGTTATGGGTTACTTGTGTTATGGACATTTACCACAGAGTGTCAACGTGTGAAGTTGTGTTACGGGCTACTTTATACTCCCAATGGAAAAACACCGGATTTTTTCATGTAACAGTTTATCGGTCATGCCATGACAGAATATGTCCGGTCATGTGAAATATTCAGCTGTTCTTTAACTTGTTTTGAGGACTGATGTATGTTACAAAAGACGTGATAGTATCCAGAAACAGAGAACATAATTAACCACTTAATGTCAGTTTCGATAACAATTCCAGTCCTAAGTTACAGTTGCTGATATATTTGCATACTAATTTACCATGCACCATGCCGTTAGTTAGTTTCCTTATGCGGAACTTTACTATGAGACGCTATGAGACATGCGATTCTGGGCGGTGGCCTAGTAGTTAAAGCGTTTGCTCGTCACGCTGAACACCCGATTTCGATTCACCACATATGTACAATGTGTGAAGCCCATTTCTGGTGTCCCCCGCCGTAGCGGCGTAAAACTAAACTCACGAACGAACGAACGAACAAACGAACGATATGGTTTTAGTCCGGACGACTACGGCTTCACTGAGGACGATGAGAAAAAGTGAATGTTTATTACCTGATGACGAGCTGTAACAAATGGAGGAGGTGATGCAGAGTTGAGTGTCGTTACTGTTGCCTGCGCACGGTTGACCATTGAAGGCTGGAGCGGGAGCGTCACAGGATCTTGTCCGGGTCTGCACCCCTTCCCCACAGTCTTGGCTGCAGTCTCCCCACGCCCCCCATTCAGACCAGAAACCGTCGACTGTGCGGGGGAGAAAGAACGGAAGAGCCGAATCAGGTCCATTGACAATATTCGACATATCCCAGGTTGAAGACAAGCGTAGAATATGTGCTTACAGGTGTAAGGGTATTTTGGCAAATGAATGGAAGGAACATGAATGGATAAGGACGTTCTGCATGCCTAAATATCATTGGCTGATATCTATTTCTGTGAGAATCTTGAAAATCACGTGTATTATTCAATGAGTATCGATTGTGTCACTGAGGTAGAGGTCATTTTTCTGCAAAGTTGAAATTGGAGTTGAACGGTAGTTCATTAACTTTGCCAATGGAGAAATCGGCTTGAAATTTTTACACTTGGAAAACATTTACCTGGAATAGTCGTGGCGCAGTCTTCATCCACATACCCGTCCTTGTCGTCATCGGCTGTGAATGAAGAATTCCCGGTTAACGATTTCACAATACAGTCTAATTCACTTCCGTTTATGTGAAAGTCGCTACCCACAAAGTGATCATTGAGCTCCATGTAGAAGTATCTACCTCTACTAAAGGGTAGTTGTCTAATTAGATTCTTAATGATCAACGACCTCTTTTTTAATAATATGGACTTTCCTTCAATATTGAGTTGCAACGTCATAACTAAATACTGTTAAGGGAAGTGTATCAACACACTCAATCAGCGACCTCAAACATGGGGGTATAGTTTCCTTCTACCGGCAGGTTTGGTTTTGAAGGAGGCCATCGTCATGCTCTGGTGCCAATTTTCGGTTGTAAGTCAGGATATTTCAATCGGTCAAATTTGACACTCTGTCCGCAGTTAAGACAATCACTAACTGTTAGTTTAATATGAATAATTAACATTGAGTTTACAGACCAATAAAGTAGGTTTTGAATGAGTTATTTTAAAGGCGGTGAGACAGCCTGGTGGTTACAGCGTCATGCCAAAGGGTTCGACCCACACGGGAACAACATGTGACGCATATTACCGATGTCCCCCGCTATGATATTTGCAGGAATATTGCTAATTCACTCACTCAACCTCTTTAAAGAACAACAGGTTGAGTTAATTTTCCCATTAACGTTCAACTGGTTCGAAGGCTTTATGTATCATTTGTCGATACATCTGTAACATTCTAAATTATTATGTCATACAAGTAATGGTCAATGTACGTTATAATGGAACATTCTTTTGGATGGTATTTCTATTATAGACTATTGGGAGCTTATCACTCAATGTTTAATAAGAACCTTAGTATACTTGTATTATTGGCATGTACATGTGTAAATATTCCTACCATTATCCCCTGGTAAACATAGTTCCTCGTCTATGAGGCCGTCACAGTCGTTATCAACCCCGTCACCGTCCGTTGATGGAGTTGCTGTACACACCTGTGGCAAACATACCAATATTAAAGCTTATTTACATAACATCGAGCGAGACATAACATACATGTAAACACAAAGAGATAGATATATCTATTTATCTTGCCTCACACATAAATGTCGTTTTCTGATTGGCTGAGCACTCTTCTTTTATTTTCAATGTACCCCGCTTGCAAGCGAGTAACATTTTCTATGTACCCCGCTGAGATGCCGAACTCATTTGGTGCTTCGTAGTAGTACTTCCTTATCTGGAGGGGCGGTGGGGTAGCCTAGTGGGCAAAGCGTTGGCTCATCACGCCGAAGAACTGGGTTTGATTCCCCACTTGGGTACAATGTGTGAAGCCCATTTCTGGTGTCCCCCGCAGTGATGTTGCTGGAATATTGCTAAAAGCGGCGTAAAACCAAACTCGCTCACTCACTCTTTATCTAGAATAACATTGAATCACATATGATGTACGGAAATTAGCGATGTTTTGCAAATGCAAATCGATTCAAGGGAGATAACTCTAACTTCTTGTCTTGTACTCCATACTATGATCCAATACCCGTGCTTCAAACAGGGAGATAACTCTAAATTTGTTTTTCTTGTCCAAACAGTTCAACATTACCATTGAGGTGTTCGGTAAGATGAGTACGTTGTTCACTGGTCCCTCGGTGCCTATAGGTTCATGTACCCTCAATGCTTCTTTATGTTCCCCTCGCCCTTCGGGCTCAGGGAACATAAACAAACATCGAGGGTTCATCAGCCCATGTCCCCATCGAGACCAGTGGACAACTTATAATAAACGATTTCACGTTTTTCATTATGGTACAAAGAACAGTTTAGGGCAGAGCAGTTATCACAGCTCAGATCAAGTTGTACGTACATAACATTGCCATTAGTAACATATACGTGTCCGGTATTTTATCGCAAATGAGACATAATAAAATTTCTTAATAGGGACTAATAAAACAAAAAGGTAATGATTATTTGTAGAGCAATCTCCTAAGAGAAGATTATATACACACGACATTATTTACGCGTTTCAAAATATGTCGGTGGAATCCGTTGATAACCACATCGACTAATAAACGGCATACTCCCTGATGGATCTGACTGATCTCGACGTTTCTGGCAGGAGCTCTGCGGGTTTTGGGGGGGTTTTTTTGGTATATATGGAGCAGTGAGGTCCTTGAATCGGATTGGATGCTCAAAATACACTTAAACAATTAACATAACTGATTTGGAACTATTGTGATTTCAGCAGTCATTCAAAATCTCTAGGACCTCACAAAAACAGAATAGTCTCAGTCTAAGTCTTTATCATCTGCTCAGATTCCACGGTTGAAAATAGTGGGGAAAATGTTATGACTATATCACTGGCGATACTTTAAACATCTGAACCTACAGGTGAGTGCTTACCGCATTTATTGGTGCGAGTCTCATCCCTGTTGGGAATCCATAAGTTTCTGATAATGCTTTTCCGTACAGGTAGCCTGCAAATAGGACTATTGCGGAGATGTGTCGGACTCTGTGCACCCCCTCTGGAAGGGACACGAAGGCACCGACGAGATTGGTCCCCGGAACTGACGTCCAGTTGCTGTCTGGAACCATTGGGCGGCCGTTTAGAATCAGTCCAGATGTCTCAGCAGAGTCGATGGCCAACATGAAGAAGTTTTGATATGATCCTAATGAAAATTTAGGTGTTGCGAATGTGTAGTCAGACGCCCATTGTTGTATAGGAGGGATCAGAATCATGGACGGATCAGCTTCTTCTTCATCGTACTGAGTCAACTGACTCAGGACAAACATCGCCACTAGTATGGCCTTGTTGCTGGTGATGAGGTTAAATTCGTCTGATGGGATAAGGAGTTGAAGATATTGACCAGCTTTGGCTAAACTGTGTGTTCCATGTCTTGTAACGTTCACAACAGTGTCGTCCTCACTGGCAACGAACCGGAAGTAGTCCCCTGTGGTTCTGTAAGGGGTTGGAACTGTAGCGAACCGCTTACCCCATGCCTCAACTGGTGGTATTTGCTCAACAAGATGGTCTTGGGTACTGCCGATCCCAATATTGGTTTTCATGTTCCCACTGTAGACGGACACGGGTTTATCTGAATCTATTCGAGATCCTGTCAGGTCCCCAACACTTTGAAATTGGAACGTACTGAAACGATCCAGGATAATGTTAATCTCGCCTCTATTTCCGTAATGCAATCCCTGGTAGTTGACACTGACGGCAGGGGTGGATACAGGGAGTTTGATTTTAATACTCGTGTCATCCTCAATAGCCGCAATGGCAACTTCACATTTCCTATAGGCTGGAGAGTAGCTGACAGAGAAGTGACGCTTACCTAAGACATGGGTGGGTAAGCCTAGGAATGCATCGTTAGAATAGTCCTCTTTGTTGACTCCGTAAACCACGATGTTGTTATCAGCAGACACGTATATGGCTTTACTTGAGATAGCTGTACCAATGTTTCGCAGTGAATTGGAAATAAACATTTGCCTTACTTCTCCGGGCCTTATAGTAAACGATTCATCAAGATCAGCTGACGGCCATTTTGGCGCCGTGACGTTTACGTTGACCTCCGTCTCCTCTGACGTGGCAATGAAGAGTTCAAGGTCATAATTGTAGCGAAGATTATCCATGAAGGACAGAACGAACTCTTTGCCGTTGTTGTTTAAACCGCCTGTAATTTGAATGGAGTGAGTGAGTGAGTTAATATTTAGCGTCTCATGCATCTCAGCCATATCGTGACGAGAGTATTTTAAATGGAATGGAATGTATCAATGAACGCGTTTGCAAACGCTAAACAAACGTAATACATGAAGCATTTAAATTCGGCATAGCAATGTATTTCCCAGTTTATATACTAATATACATTGAACGTACCAACCGCCTCCGTGGTGTAGAGGTTAGAGCGTCCGCCCGGAGAGCGGAAGGTCGCGGTTTCTATCCCCGACCGCGTCATACCAAAAGACGTTAAAATAAGGTACTTGTTGGTCCCTGCCTGGCGCTTGGCATTAATGAGTACGACAAGGACTGGTCGGCTCGGAGTCAGTATAATGTGTCTGAGTGGGGTATTCATGCTTCACTGCGGCATGGTATCTCAGTGGGCTAGCACTATAAAACCAGCTTAAGTCTGGACTAGTAGTACAAGCAGCCGCACATACACATACACACGCATGCACGTCGTCATATGAGCGAAATATTCTCAAGCACGACGTTAAACCCAATTTCACCTCACCTTGAACGTACCATGTATATGTTGAAGCACCAAGGAGAACACTAGAAGAATTGTTGCCTGAAACAAAAACTAGAGCATGTGAACATTGTAGAGTTGATAAGTGTAGAGAGGCTGCTATCTGGCCACTCGCGGCGCAATACTTGTCCCTTTATACGGCAATATAAAAGTTGGAAGAACTGTTGTAGATTATTGTCTATATAAGGAACTCTGCGGAGCCTAAAGCATGGTGTTTCTAAAAGGAAATAAACATGTCCAATAAACTGAATAACCCGATAGTGTGCACAATATATTAACTCATGACCGCTAAGCATCCCATACCATATCCTCATCAGCATCATACGGCAATACCACGGGAGTGTACACTTTGTACATGCACTACAGTCCTGCTTCGTCTATGGTATGTTTAAATTGAGTATGAGCACATTGTACTTTGTGTCACCACAAAATTTTGAAGTGTGAACTTAAGAAATCTCTAACGGTCATACTTACACTATCACGAACAACCTGAGACATCTTTTAGATGAACCTTTTCCCTCACCAGAGTCAGTCTGTTCTGTGTTGGAGAACTACCTGCTCGATAACACATCAATGTATTCATTTGTCATCGGTGCCTGAAAATCGTTTTCTCGTGTTTATTTCAACTAACATATTTCCCATTCCCTTTAAAAAGGTAAATATATGAATTTGTTCAATGCTCGTGTAAGTCGGAATACTGTCTGCCGTTGGTAATTGCAAACTGACATGTAGTGTGGAATGTAAACATCACAAATACGCCAGAGGCACGCTGGACGGAAGAACGCCAAGAAACGTGGTGAGTGTCCTTTCCTGTTGTCAACAGGAGTTCTCAGTGAGTTCATATCAATAGTGTATTTTTCAGGAAACACATTTAGACAAAGGGATTCGAAAAGCAGAAAATTGGAGTTTTTCCACGACGCTTATTGTTTGGTTTGGTTTAGTTTATTTTTTTTACGCCTCACCTAGCAATATATGGCGGCGGTCTGTAAATAATCGAGTCTGAACCAGACAATCCAGTGATCAACAGCGTGAGCATTCATCTACGCAAATGGGTCGTGACGTATGTCTTTCGAGTTTATTTTACTGCGTTTGAGTGAGTAAGTGAGTGAGATTAGTTTTCCGCCGCTTTTAGCAATATTCCAGCAATACCACGGCGGGGGACACCAGAAATGGGCTTCACACATTGTTTCCATGTGGGGAATTTACTGCGTTTGAATATGAATGGATGTGTGTTTGCCTTGTGAAGACACGTTCAAATGACAAGTGGGTTTTGTATTATTTACTTTACAACACTAACACATGAGTGAGTGAGTGAGTGTTCATGTCATGATCAGTATTTCAGTTGTGTCAGGGTGTGAGAGGAAAGCCCGTGCAGGTCCTAGATGTTTACCATTTGCCGAGGCCGACGAACTGACAAACTAAAACACTTGATCAGGGCGAACTAAGATCTGATCTCCTTTAACAAGTATCGTAATGGACCAGCTCTGCTCGGCTAATGGTCAGCTTAGTCAACTGGGGCACCCAATGACGAACTTAATAAATCGAAACCCAGCATATCAAGCTCTCGCACTTAATAAAGGTATGTCACTATGTGTTGTTCTTATACCATTATCATGACAGTAGCATGTCAGCCTGATGAAGACGTCAACAATAGATAAAACACACACACAGCACACAGTGTTTGGGGACGGTATTAACTCATGACAGTGACAGACTGCTACACACACTGGGAAGATCATTGCGTTGTAAGGTTTCCGGTAATTGCAACATTTATCATAAAGTGTCATATGAACACCACCCTCTCTTGATTGATGAAAAGGCCACGTGATTAAAATGGCAGAATGAAAGAAGCAAGAAACATACTTGCTCTAAACACTCGGTCGACACTGCAAAATGTTGGTTTTGGTAAGATATGAGTTCTGTCGGTGTCGATTTTAAGCTATCAGTTGATGAACATTTCATGTAATTGTTTTATCGTGTATTGTTGTGTATATTATTCTTTGGAAATCTGTTTTAGGTTTCAGATTGTAGTGGCTGCATGGGTTCTACAAGCCTTTAATCCAGGTAGGTGGTCCATGCATGTAGCTAATAGTATAGTTGATGTATTCCTTGACATATAGCAGCTCTTCATGTTTTCAATGGTAACGTTATTCAGTGAATGTTATCGTAGAGTGGATCAAACTGAAATGCAATATATGCAACAAATTTGCATGCATGAATATCCATTGGGTGAGTTTGGTTTTAAACTACTTCGGACAGTGTTATCACGAATTGTCACCTTAATGTAGATGGAAAAATAGAAATTCTGGACAAATAAATATACGTTCACCATTTTGGTGAGGCCCGAGACTGAAGGAGCAGCGAGAATAACAAATTGTGAGAATCAGGGTTAAGGTATTGTTTTCTATATCCTATTTTTATTATGTGTGTGCATTATATATTTCCAAACCATATAATCGCCTATGGCCATGTATTATTATAATAGCATACATTGAAAAACGTTACTGAAGTTATCAATTTGGAACAGTAGAGCATATTCGACGTTAAAGCTGCAACAATAAACACTCAATGTTGACTTAAGATGACAACGATTCCAGTCAACCAGCCCTGCTCCAATTTAACCTCGTGAGTACAGGGTATTGCTTTCCATGGGTGCTTATATTACTGGGTCATCGTGAGGACCCCAGAAAAACAAAGTAGGCGATTCAGTGTGACGCACAAATGTTTTGGTCGGAATACAGTCATCTGATAAGGAACATTTACAAGGATAATAACCATAAACACCGCGAACATTTGATGCCATCACTGATGTTCATACATTCATATGAATTTCACAGCCTTTACACAAAAGGAAATTTGTTTTTGGGATAATCAAGACTGGGTATTCTTTTTCACAGATGTTCTATAATTAGTCGTTGTTTTATGCCGCAGTCAGCAACATTCCAACTGAATCACGGAGGCCGGTAAATATTCGGGTTGGGGAAACAAATATTAACTTAACACCATGGGGTACTTAGTTACCGTACCCGACAATCCAAATTTACATCTTACCCGACAATCCCATATATATCCTGGATCAGACATTATACCACTGTACATGTGCATAAATATTTATTTCCTATATTTCAGGTGTTTGTGGGGTAAGAATAGACCAGAAAGGAAATAACTTCATCGTAGCATTTCCTGACAGCGGCACAAATGACAACGTCAATCTCCTGGTCATTACGTCAGAGACTGACGTCAAAGTCTACGTCATGATGGACGGAGAAAATGACACTGAACATTTCCTTTCCGCCGGAAGTTCGCGACACATTTACTTCCCTTACCAAACGACGGTATTTTCCAACATGGTGGTGGAGCGAAAGGCCATCCACATCGTAGCGTCAGACAAGGTGTCGGTGTATGGATACGTGAATCAGTACAATGCCATGGACGGTTTTCTGGCTCTACCTGTGAAGACCCTGTCGGACGAATACATCGCCGTAACCTATTACAGCCACGCTGGTGCAGGAGGTAAGCATGAGTGAGTGAGTGTATTGGGTTTGATGCCGCTTACAACAGTCTTCCAGCAATATTACGAGAGGGTCACCACAGCGTCACGCATAGCAAGCGTTCCAAACACTGATCGGTCGAAGCTACCATGAGACAATAATAAGGTTGCCCTATTTATTTTGGAGAATGGCGATGAAGTCCTTCTGTTTTATTCATGTTCATTCTATTTTGATTTTAGGGGGCACATATCAAATTCATCCAATGGCACATAAGCTATATAAGTATGTTCCAGGATTTTCGAAGCTCTAAGATAGTCGTAAGTCCATACAATTTAACTTTAACATTAACTCGAAAATCGGACCTTTGTACTAGACTACATTGTGCCGAACGTTTCCCTACATCTTCCCTCATATCCCCTAATCACTCAATCTGTAATAAATCCGGATCCGGATCCACAAAGCGGTCGTAAAGTTCGACCAGCCGTAACACTATACCATACCATAGGCTTACGAACGGCATAGTGCTACGAACGTTTTGTGGATCCGGCTCCTGTTTCTGATCATGCAGTTTCCCATGGTTATGGCAGATGCGATAATTTCAAACAATGAAGGGGAAATGAATGTTTTGTTTGAGTATTGTTTGATTAGTTTCTTCTAATCTTTGGTTCTTCCTAAGTGTTTTATGTTTTCACCGTGTTCTGCATGCTTAATTCACACCCATGTGGCATCGCATACATGAATAACCTAAATATTCTCATTTTGGCACCTGAATATAAAATATATACTGGTGAATGAAAACAGAAGTGTCCACGTGACGCGTAAAGCGTGTCATGGACGTGCTTCCAGCATTTGTAGGGATACATGTATGCCTCACTGTGGCACATGGACATTGTCA